CAAATCCGCATACTATCGCGGGACGGGTTTGTATTTCATATATGCTACCCGCGGGTCGTGCGGACCGACTAACTACAAGTCAAAATATTTTTTGTCTATCGCAAAACGGACTTAACGGGATGAATCAACTCGCTTTGACAGTTCTAATGGGAATATTATTTAGTCATACAACAAAATGAAGTTTGGACGTAGTAATAATATAATATGTATCTTATTTGTTAGATGAGAGATTGAAAGATGAAGTATAATGATTAAAAATTAATTATTATTTTTCATGATTCACAAAATTTAATAAATACTTATCATCTTGTTGAATAATTCTAAAATCATATTCAAGAAATCTTTATAAATTGAAAATTAAACTTCTTTGGTAAGCTATAGGTATGAAAATATCATAATTTCGATTTAATCTAATTAAATTAAAATTAGTTACATGGATTTCATATCTATTTAATTTACACGACCAAAATAAAAATATCTATTTAATTTACACGACCAAAATAAAAATATCAATTTAGTTTATAAAATAGATGGGTTATTTGTGATAAATTTTCTAGAAATCTTTAGAAGCAAATAAAATATCTTTCAATTAATGATAATTGGCTAAAATGAGCGAAATTAATGACAAAAACGTTGATTGTTATGGAATTAGTCCCAAAAATATATGAACAAATTTATTATACGTAATTAATGTATAATATTGTTCGGAATATGCTTTTATTATTAGTTACCATAAGTACAATCAGATTTTATTTGATTTCCATAAATATTTGATTTTATTTCGATTTTTCATTCTTAATTCGAATTTATATTCCAAAAAAAATTCAAAGATCCGATTTCAGAAATTGGGTCAATTTTCTGATTTTAACCCGACCTATTTTCATTTGTACTTCTCTTTTAATAGTATAGAGATTTTTTCCAAAAATGTAATAATAATTAGTTTAGAGATTATAGCTTCGATTTATGTTAAACAAAAAAATCTTTCAAGCCAAGGTCTGTAATGTTTTATGTAGAGATATTGCGCATAGCTTACCCATAAAACAAGGTATATTCTTGGAACCAGTTGGATTTATTCTACTTTTGGTAAGTTTGAGTCTTGTAGAAATCATAAAAAATTTGGTTTCAATCTGTTTTAAACTGTTCTGTTGTTCTATCATCTATGGAAGATACAAGTGTTTAGTAGAAAAATCAAGAAAAGATTCCAATATATTTAGTTGTACTCTTTTTTTTTTCTCGAGAAAGTACTTATGTGTGTGTATACAACAACATGTGTTTGGCAGTAAAATGTGATGAAGGTTCCAAGAATGTTGTGAAGAAACGAAGGTATATATATACAAGTGGTCTATGTTGTTCATCATATACAGAGTTTTCATTTCTATTTCTAAAACTCTCCTTATAATCTACTAGCCTGTTGATTTGCGGCTTTGATTTAAACAGGGTTTAAGTATAATTGATGCTACTATTGTCTTTTGGTCTCTCAATGTTCCGGTGCCTTTTCAATATCCACCCTACGTTTCTAGATGAAAGTGATGTAGCCACTGAACCAGAAACTGATAGAGAGTATTTTGGTATATTGGCCAATGAAGCCATTACAATATACAACGATAGAGAGGTCACTTAAGTTTTCTGTTTCAGTCAAAACCCGTTTGTTGATTCTTTTTTTGCTTTTGGTTTATGTTTGTTTTGTAATGTATATTACAGGGGACGAGTTTTGAATTTGTCAAGGTTGATAAAGTCAATATTTTACTTGTGTAGTGGAGACCTCATCTTCATCACATTATTAGTCAAGGATCCTACTTGTGATGATAACCAGACAACAATCTTTCAAGCTAAGGTCCGTACGTAATGTTTTTTTATAGAGAGATTGTTCACAACGCCTAAAGACCAAAACCCAATCAACAAGGTTCTTGATGAAAAAAAAAAAAAACCCAATCAACAAGGTACATTATCTTAGAATTAGTTGCTTTTATCACCTTTGTTAAGTCTGAGTTTAGTAGAAAATCAAGCAAAGATCACTAATCATAAACCGGATGAAAACGAATCTGTACCACCCTCAATACGGCTCAACCATTTTTTTTTTTTTTTTCATCAAACACCATTTATATTAAGTTATCGGAAAGATAGACTCTCCGCTGGGGAGAGCCATTCAGGAACCGAATTGCTTACATGGGAAAAGAGACTCTTCCGAGCCCGAGCTTTTTTCGCTAAACAGTCAGCTCGAATATTAAAACTACGAGGAAGAAAACGAATACTAAAAGAAGGGAAAAAACAACGAAGAGACCGGAAAGAGGCCAATTCTACTGCAAAAGTTGGCCATTCTTCTTGATTATCGAGAAGTGATATCATGTCGGAGCAATCTGTTGCGAAGGCGCCAGAGGTGACTCCTAGCGAGATCAAACATTCCATTGCCCACAACAAAGAATCCACTTCCGCATGGAGCGGTGAAAGACTTCTTCTCGAACTCTTGAGACCGAGATGAAGGATCCGATCTTGATCAACTAATACCCATCCATGTCCGCTTAAAGTATCCTCTAAGTGCCATGAGGCATCCACCTGACATTCCGATGTCTGAGGATGAGTGGAGAGGTTCAGAAGCGTGCGACCAGGAGCCTCGGTATATGACATACCATTCAGAAAGGCTTGTTTCCAGATCGATGCTTCTTTTAAGGCCAAATTTAGAATCTCGAGGGGAGGCTCCCTAATGTTTTCGAATACAAATCTATTACGGCTTTTCCATATATACCAAAGTATCCATGGAAAGATTTCTAGCACATCCTCTTCAATTCCAAATTCCCGACCTCGCCAAAAGAGGAAGTCAAAGTTATAGAACAGGGAATTTCGAGGGAAAAGATGTCCCACAGAGGGAATAGGGGATAAAGCCCAACCCTGCCTAGAGGGCGGGCATTCAAAAAGTAGATGATTAATAGATTCTTCCTCACCGCCACATCGAGGACAACCTTTGTCTGTACCAATATGACGGTTTACAAGTCTTTGGGATGTGGCTAGACATCCCGAGATACATTGCCACGCGAAATGCATAAGCTTCCGCATAGTTTTAAGCTTCCATACTTGTGCTTGTAGTGTTGAAACACCCGGTCCCTGAAAAGGGAGGTCACAAGTAGGACGAGATAAAACTCTCGCGGCCCAATAACCGGATTTTACAGTGTAATTCCCGGATTTAGTGTGGTTCCAACTAAAGCAATCACTAAGGTACGTGCGACTTGGTCGAATCCCTAAGATCAGAGGGATATCCGCAGGGTCGATCAATGTTTGAAGACGGTCAAGTTTCCACATCTTTGTGGTTTGATCAATGAGGTCATTAACATATAGATGAGGATCTCGTATGTTAAGAATACTTTTGGCGGGTCTCGCAGGGATAGTAGGGATCCACGGATCTTCCCATACCCGGGTTAGCATTCCAGAGCCAATGGTTCTTCGAAGACCCGACAGAAGGAGCGGTTTGGCCGCCATGATACTCCTCCATCCATAGGAGGGACGGTTAGAATTCCCTATGTGTTGAGGATCACTAAAGCGGTAATATCTGCCCCTCAGGACCCTACTCAAGAGGGAGTTTGGGTACCAGATGAGACGCCAGAGTTGTTTTGCTAATAGGACAAGATTAAATACTTCAAGCGTTCTAAAGCCTAGGCCACCTTCAGAATGTGGGGTACAAAGTTTATCCCAGGCAATCCAATGTAGGCCATTACTATTTTCATTTGTTTTCCACCAAAAGTTCGCTATGGCACTGCTCAATTTTGAACGAATAGCCTTAGGAAGAAGGAAACACGACATAACATATGTCGGAAGAGCTTGGGCCACTGATTTTATGAGGACCTCTTTACCTCCTTTAGACAAGAATTTAGCGGACCATGTATTTAATCTTTTTTGAAGTCTATCTCGAACAAAAGAAAAAACTTGGATTTTGGAGCCATGAATTTGCTCCGGTAATCCCAAGTACGAACCCATACCCCCGTCCTTATGAATGCCCAGGGTCTCTTTAATAATATTCCGGGTACTATTATCAACGTCATGACCAAACATCACTGAGGACTTCGCAGTATTTAACTGTTGTCCCGAAGCCTCGCCATACGTGCGGAGAATTTTGATGATCTCTCCACCTTGAACAGGGTCAGCTTTGCAAAAAAATAAGATATCGTCCGCAAAAAGGAGATGTGAAGTAGAAGGACTAGCTCGGGAGATTTGAAGACCTTGTATGCGACCATGCCATTCTGCTTCTTTGAGGTTAGCCACCAGAGCTTCGGTACACAAAATAAACAGAAAAGGAGAAATAGGGTCTCCTTGTCGAATTCCCCTCGTCGGTTTAATGGACCCTCTCGGTGCTCCATTCAAAAGAACTTTATAAGAGACTGATGAAATGCAAAAAGAGATTAAATCTACCCATTTCTGAGCGAAGCCCATTTTGAGCATTAGGGCTTGTAAAAAGGACCACTCTACCTGATCGTATGCTTTACTCATGTCCGTCTTTATAGCCATAAACTTTTTCTTGCATGCCGGACTGGTTCGGAGAGCATGAAAATTTTCTTGCGCTATAAGAATGTTGTCCGTAATAAGTCTTCCTGACACAAAGGCAGATTGAGTCTCGGAAATTAATTCCGGAAGAAGTTTTTTAAGACGGGAGCTAAGGACCTTTGAAATAACTTTGTAACTTACATTACACAAGCTAATTGGTCGGAACTCCGTCATTTTTCTTGGTCTATCAGTTTTTGGAATCAAACAGATATTTGTCTCATTCAACCGCTTATCGAAAGAGCGGCACAACCATTTAATTTACAAATTTAAACATTATTTTATTTTATTAATCATATTGATATTGGGTGTTGACGTATCTACCTATGTGTTCTCCGTCCTACCTATGTCACATTCAGCCTGACACGAAGAGACAAACGGGCTAGGATCGGCCCATTAGACTCTTAGCAGGCTTTTTGCGTTCTACTTTTTTAGTTCGGCGGGTGTTTTATTTATTTATGTATCTGTGCAGCGCAAACAATGAGAAGATAATTTTTTCTCGCTAAGGGTTCCGATCTAATCATGGCGGACTCTGTTTTGATGGAGGTTAACTGTCGCCGGCCTCAAAAGATTCCGAAGTTGGACAAAGATTGCCAAGGATCCAAATCGTCCTCCAAACAGCGCGTGGTCAAGTGGGGAAAAGGGGAAGATGACGAATACTTACGACAGTATTTGTTGTTTCACTATCAATTTGAGAAAACTCAGGTAATAAAAAAAAAACTCTAGATTTCTCTGTAGTTAGGGTTGAGATTTGAAATCTGATTTGGAACCTGTTTTGCTTAAAATTAGGGTTTCTCGATAAAATGGGAGCAATTTGATTACCTATTCCGTAGTAGACCAATGGATAATTCGACAGACCAAATCAGCGAGACACAAAGCAATGCTGAATTGATCCGTGAGATGACACTCACTGCTATCGAGAAACACAACGAAGCTCATGGAACAAAACTTGTGTTTGTGGAGCATGTTGAAGCAAATTACCAATTTACCAGCGGTCTTACCTGCTGGTTAACATTCTGGGCTACAGATATGGCCTCGTCCCCTCCAGAGTCTAAAATCTATCAAGCAAATGTGTGGCGTCGCGGAACACGGTTTCATACTTTTATATTCAGGGTCAAGCCCACGGACGAAGGTGATTTCTTCTTTATCACCTAAAAAGCTTTAATCAAGATTCGTTTTTCTTGTGCTTTGGATGTTCATTTAGCTACATGTTTTACTGTGATGCGTTGCAGAGATTGAATCTGTTGAAGTGCAACCTCCGTCTCCCATGCGTTATGAATTTGATAAACCACCGATTGTCTTTTCTCGACCTGGTCCTGAAGATGAAGCATTGCCTGGAGTCCCCTTTGTCTTCAATCGAACTGGAGCTGGTCTTGATCCCGATAGGTTCACTCCGAGCTGGTCTTGATCCCAATAGGAAAATGTATGCCAATGCCTTTTGGCATTGACTAGTAGTATTTCTTATGTAAGTCGTCGGTATTTAAACTTTGTCCTTGTTTAATAGTCGAGTCTCAGACATATTTTTATGTTTGTTGATTGTTGTCAACTGTTCCAAACCATCTAAATCTTTCTCGCTTCTTGTCCCCAACTCTAGTGCTCAGAAAAGTTCTTCCATTTAGTGACAATCCTGCTTATCTTTTGATGCGTCCTTAATTTTTTCAGTCTAGTACCGGAAATCCAAAAGTCTAAATTCTTTTTAACTTTTACTTTATATGGTGAATTCATAAAGTTTGTTTGTGTTCAAAATCGTTGGTTGAAGAACATAGAAAACTCTAGTCTCGAACGTCAATAAGAGTTGGGTTGGGGAGAGGAAAGTTTGGTACAACGAATATTAGAAAACAGAGTATCTAACGAAACGGGGAAGTAGATGATAAAAAACGAATACTGAGGCATCGAGAAACCAATAAACTCGACCCCGGAAAAACATAACTTGAACTATTTACATTTGTCAATAATTTTGTTTTCCATATAAAACCCTAAAATGGAACCAAAATGATATGAAATTGAGAGTTTTCACGTTGCCAGATTTCTCTTTTATTGCTCAATTTGAAATCATTATTATGATGGCCTTTCGTTAAGGTGTGGTCCTTTCTTTGCTCCTTTCTGTGTGCTACAATCTCTAAAAATGAATTCGTTTGCCTTAAGGATGACAAACCCTTACTAGTTTGATGATTTAACTCTATCTCAAGTCCTCGGCTTTTTCTCTCTGAGTCCTAACCTTATTTTTGCAGGACTCCCCTGATTTAAAAACTGCTAGGCGCTTAGGGTCCTTATCAAATAACAGTTGAGAGACAGAACAAGGAACTGGAAATAGCAACTAAGACAATCTCTAAAAGCTAAACCAGACTCTAACACGGTCTTTTTGCTTCACTCATTTGACTGAGATTGAAGATGACGATTTGAGAGCCATTGTTAGAATACAACCTGTTGTGGCTCTCATGCCAGTCACTAACGAGTTATTCAATTATAACATTAACAACAACAAGGAAGAAGCAAGAGACCTACCTTTGTGTGATAAGTCAAAAATCATCAAAGGAAGCAAAAAGACAGAGACTATGCACAGAAATCTGCAATTAGTTGCCTGCAAAGGAGAGAAATTGGTAAAGAAATTGATCGAAGATAAACGGATGGGTGTTACGAAAAAAATCTGTCAAGTGATGGCAAAGCAGCTCACAAAAGAAGAATATAGTGAGTAGGCTAATATAACTATGTCAAGAAGACTTTTCAGTTGTTATCTCTCTAAGTTTTTTAAAACATTCTCTTGCTTTCACACTAAATAAAAAGAAACAAAATAGAGAGTGAAGAAGAGAATGAAAACAGAGAACTTGAGAGAAGAGAGGGAACGGACCTGGAGCTTGATGGAGAAGATCAAGAAGGTCCGACCTGAAACAGAGCGAAGCGACAAGAATTCAACACCATCATGATAAGCTTTTCAATCCTACCTATGCAACAAAGCCAAAATCACCACCATCATAATTATTATTCAAACCGAATATGGAATAAATCAAACCCAGGACAGTCACGTAGTAATTGCTTAACACTCCCAAACAAAATGCAGTGAAAAAGTCTTCTTACAATCCTTTGAATGACAAAGAAAAAATTACTAAACTTGGTAAGAGCTATCAAATCTTTTAATGAGATCAGACATCAACTAAATAGTACCTCTAAGCCGTCAAGAAGACTCTCCGCAACAGCATAAAACCAACAAAACTTCACTTTCGTATAAGTATTATAGACAATCAACAGAGTCCCAGTATATCGAATTCAACGATAGTTTCAAGCAAACATATTCATCAATTTCTTGAAAACACAGAAGCAAAGAAACGAAAGAGCTACAAACCTTGAATAGCTTCCATTTATTTTTGGGCTTTGGCTTGCATATCGCGCAGCGCATCAGCTTCTTCCTCCATCTCTTTCAATCTCCTCTTTATCCCATCAAGCTCTTGATACCACGAAATCAAAACAGAAATATAAAAATGAAGTAAAAAATCAAATCGAGCAAACACACATAAGAGACAGAGAAGCAGACCTTAATGACGCCATCATCTGCGGCAAGCATATCCGGATCCAACAATGAATCGTTTCCTTCTTCTCCATCTCTCTAATAGCTTTCCTCTGCCTCCTTCATCGTGTGCGCGCATTTTCCTCCCGACTCTTCCTGTCGAATTGTTAAGAAACAGTCTCTGACTTCAACCCGAGAGAAACTAAAAAATATGAACAACCTCAGTTAAAGAAAATCAAAAACATTCTATAGAGCTTAGATGCTAGTAAAATGGAACAATTTAACAAACATATGAATATTAAAACTACGTTACTCCTAACTATGCATACAAAGACGGTTTAACTAAATATATCAATTAGGGTTTGAGCGTACTACCGTGAATTTGAGTGTCTCCATTTTCTCTGACCATGAAATTGGGATTTCTGTCGTCTGAATATCTTCTTTTATGCATCACTAACTCCTCGACAGCGAAATCTACCCATCAAGCTACAACCGCTCTCATAAAATTTTTTGATTCCGCTACATGTTCATCGCAAAACTAAACAAAGGAAGACCAACTCAAAGTTCTTAAAATAATATTCTTTAGATTTAGAATAGAAGCTAAAGAGGCATCTGTATGACTGTTTCTAATTTGTTTTTAGTGCTTGGTATTAAATTTGCAAAAATAATCGAAGAAGCATTATCAAGCCAAAGGGGACGCATGAGATTTAAGCTTGGTGACGTGGCTTGATAGATATATTTTTAAATACGATAGCTGATGTGGCAGCTTAAATTTCAAAATTAGGGTTCCTGGTTCGTTGATCAAAGGCAAGAAGATGACGATTGATTACGAAATCTGCAGTGATCCGTTTGATTCAAGATGTGTCCTCGCCACTTCAATGTATCCTCCTGGAGCTGAACCAAAGAAGGCGAAACGTTTCTTGGAGAAGATCAGAGGGAAAGAGGTAGATATGTTCAAAACTACACAAGAGATGAAGAGTTTTATCTTATCAACGATCAGATCAAGAAGAGCCAGGGCTTTGACGTCGATTTCTCAATGTTCCGTGTCCTTTTCGATTTCTACCCGTCGCTTCTCGATGAGAGCAATGCAACTAAAAAACCAGAAACTGATAGAGAGTATTTTGGTAGATTAGCTGAGGAAGCCATTGAAAGATTACAACAAAAGAGAGGTGAAGTGACAAAACTCTGACTCAGTCACACTTTTTGTTAGAATGTGGATTTGGTTTGTGTTTTGTAATGCATATCCAATACATTCTTGAATAATGTGTTTGATGTACCGAGGACGAGTTTTGAGTTTGTTGAGGTTGAGAAAGTTAATGTTCACTTAGGTAGCGGATACATCTACTTCATCACATTTGTAGTCAAGGATCCTTGTGATGATGATAACCAGACAAAGATCTTTCAAGCTAAGGTCCACAATGTTTTATGTAGAGAGATTGCGCACTGCTTCTGCAGGCCAAAACCCGAACAACAAGGTACATTATCTCAGAATTAGTTGGATATCTCAACCTTTGTTGTTAAGTTTAAGTTTAGTAGAAATCATGAAAGTTTTGGTTTCAATCTGTTTTAAATTGTTCTATTGTTTTAGGGAAGATATATACAAGTGTTGTGTCTTTGTAAAGTTTAAGTCTTGTGTTAAGTAGAAAATCAAGAAAAGCTTTCAATATGTTTAGTTGTTCGCTTTTTCTCGAGAAAGTACTCATGTGTGTGAGTATACAAACATGTGTTTGGCAGTAAAATATGATGAAGATTTCAAGAATGTTGTGAAGAAGCGAAGGTATACAAGTGACCTATGTAGTTCATCGTATACAGAGTTTTCATTTTCATTTCTAAAACTCTCCTTCAATCTACTAGTTTGTTGATTTGTGGCTTTGTTTTGATTTTGTTTTTAACAGGGTTCAAGTATAAGTGATACTACCATATATTGGTCTCTATGGGAGAAAAAAGTGCATGCATCAAAACCATGTTCTCGTATGCATTTGCTCATCTTGAGCTCCCTCTCTTACTAGCTAGCTTTGGAGCTTTCATCACATCTTTGCCTTGGCTTTGAAGATTCTAAATTGTATTGGGTTACTAACTCATTATTAGTAATCTAATCTTTAAATACTTTTGAAATATTATTTTTTACTCATGTCCATCATGCATATTATATTTTAGAACTAGTAATAACAAAGTCACAATTTAAATTAATAAAAAAATTATAAAAATCTTTTATTAATTTACAATGCCTATGTGTATGGGTGGACCAATCATCTATAGATAATAACATCATTAAAGTGTGCTTTTTAGAAACTAGAAAACAAATAAAATTAGTGAATTTACATGTAAAGTATTAAAAACCTCTGGATTTATAACTTTATATTAATCTCAAAATTAATGAAAAGTTCATAAACTTTAATGGGAATTTTCCCTTGATGGATAGAATCCTTGTTCTAAAAATCGGCCGCCTAGCCGCCTAGGCGCTGATCGGAGGAGCACCGCGGCGATTTTGTCCAAATCGGTGAGAAAAATCGGAGATCCGATTTTTCGTCTGCCTAGACCGCCTAGGCGGCCGCCTAGCCCGCCTAGACGGCGCCTAGCCCATTTTTTTTTTTTTTTTTTTTAATCTAAAATTCAAAACGTCTTACTTATGTTCGTAATTTGTATAAAAATCATAAATTTGAAATTAAAATCTTGTTTTCATGTGTTTAATATAATTTTTAAAACAATATTATATAAAATTCTTAATTATAATGGATTAATATGTTTTTAAAACATTAAATAGCCCTAAAACTAATCCCCCATTAATCCCCATGTAATCCCCGATTTTCTTGCTAGGCGCTAGGCGCACCCTCACCGCCCGACTAGCGCCTAGCGATTTTTTAAACACGGGATAGAATCAAAATAATGAGTACAATCGTATAAAGTATGATACTTTTGAGGGCTTTAGTGCAATTATGAGAATTGGAGTTTGAGTGAAAAATAAACCTAATTCTGTAATTCATAGATCAATGCAATAATTATCTACATTCAAATGTATCTAATTTCACGAGAGATCAAAGCTTTAAATATTGCTGCTCTGTTTCATCTACATAAAGTATACTCCCTCCGTTTTCGAATAGTTGTCGTTTTAGAGCTTTTTTTGTTTTAAATTAGTTGTCGTTTTAAGGTAATAATGTAATTTATGCCAATAACTACCCAAATTACCCTTATTTTATTGAACACAAATTATTTGTAAATAATTACTTGTCATTTTTATGAGGTTAATATAGTCATTGTATATCTTTTCTTAATTTGTCCAAATACACTTAAAACGACAACTTTTAAAAAACAGAGGGAGTATATCTTATCTCAAAAACCAAATAAAGATCAGTTTTTGCCTTGGCTAAAGCTCGACAAGAACTCGAGAATCTTGGAAGATATGTTCCCTGAGTTTCTGGTTACTGTCGTGTTAACAGTAGTAACATTGCTCTTATTTACAGCTTCTGTTGGATCATTGTTCCGTCTTTCAACTTTAGCGGATTCGAATTCTGCAGCTAGTTTCATTGCTGAGAGTAGAGAACTTTGAATGTGTGAGCTAGGAGTTGTCTTGAGATTTCTACTACTTGATGGTTCTTGAGGCTCTCGATTCAGAGTTTTTGGTTCCTCTGATGCAAATGATAAGAAACTGATTCCTTTTGGAGGCACCAGAGGAAGAGAGCTTCCCAGTTGTGACTGCTTCAATGTCTGATTATCAGAGTTGTCTGTGTTTCGCTTGGACGCAGGAGACACTTTCACCGTATCCTCTTGGAAGGTTTTGTCTAAAGAGAGAAAACTCATACCCTTTGGAGCAACGGATGGTTTTCTCAAAGGAAGAACCTGGGGATGCGTTACAGGTTCATTGATCTTTGGAGATAATGCATCAGATGGGTTTCTATGGTTAGATTGACTCAAGGGCTTCAAAAACCCAACAGAGCTTGAAACTCTTGCTTGGATTCCCGGTAATTTGGCTATTGCCTCTCTCACGGATTGTTTGTTTGTTTTCTGAGGAGAGAACGACGCTGCAGTGATGTTAGTTGATGAGGCTGTTACATTTGCACTCGGCGTGTCTGAAGCAGATTGTGGAGTACCCTGTTAATTGAAGATTAGTATATTAGGATCAAAAGATCAATAAATTATTAGACTCTGGAAGAAGAATCACGAGAAGACCGAGATTGATTTTTTACCTTGTGTGAAAACAAACAACTATCACCCCTGTGGCAGAAACCTTTAATAATGAAATTATTGCAAGGGTATTTGGAGAGATCATGGTCGAAAGGACAATCATCTCCTTTCATACATGATTGGGTTGCAAAGTAGCAGCAAGCCTGAAACAACAAGAAGACATGAATAAGAGATTCCACTTTTATCAAAATGATTGCTGATGTATACAGTTCAGAAAATAAGTATATGTCTTGAAAAAGTAATCTTACCGAAGATTTGGTTTCCGGTGTTGTATCATGTGAAAATTTGCATTTATCTCCCTGCAAAAGAAGAAAAACAAGTGCCATCAGCAAACAAGCGAACAATATTTTAGATTCCAAAGACATGCAGAATCCAGAGCCATTTTGCATACCTCATGGCACCGTCCCTTGAGATAGTGTCGACAATACTTTATAGGCTTTGGTTTTGGAGCTACTGGTTTCAGTTTCAGCTTTTTCACGCCAAGGGCTATACGCTCTTTAGCTCTTTTCTTCCTAGCTTTTGCCTGCATGAAATAGCTTATCAATAAGTAAAAATTGATTGCAAGATATCCCCATGATATGTCAAAGAAATGCATAGACTACATTACCCTCTTTCTGGCTTTTGCGTCCTTAGAAGGCGCAGACCTTTTTTTAATGGAGGTTCCAGGATCCATCTGCAGATAAGAAGTTAAAATACAAGTCAGATTTTATCAGCACCCAAGCAACATAACATTCCATTCTTTTATCTACATTCAATACCTCAACACCAAGCTCTTTTCCAAAACTCTCATGACTTGTGAGATGGCTGTTACCAATCCCATCTCGTGAGACCTGACACTCCTCATGTCTTTCGACTGGTTCATCATCTTCTACAAGCATATCATCATTATCATCCCCAGATATCTCTCCTTCTTCTACATCATCATCTTCAACTATCCGAGACACGGAATCTACCAAAACCGGAGTACTATCAACAGGTTTCTCCAATTCCATCTCTCTTTGAACTGTTTCATCACAAGCTTCCAAAAATCCAGAACTTTTAACTTCATTAGATTCAGCAGATTTAGGAACCTCCTCTACCTTTTTATCACTTTCAGTTGAAATATTAGGCTTCTCCACGACATTTTGAACAAAATCAAGCGGTTGTTTCGCGATATTATCTAGTGAAGCAACCATACCATCACCATCATAGTCATTCACATCCAATGCCTCAAAGAGATTCACACAACTTTCTGGAACAAAGTCTGGATTTTCATTTATCATAAGCTCAAAGCTATCGAAAAAATCTGTGTGTCTAATACCAACAGATGCATCTTGCAAGTCAATTCCATCAAAAACATCTCCAAGCATCAAACTCTTTTCCTGCGAATTCTCACCTCTTAAATCAACAGACACTCCATTGGATTTTGATTCTACCATTGATAGATTCTCCGGTGGTTTGCAAGTTTCTCCCGGAGACACTGGAGCAATTTCTTTATCAGAAACACACAAAATAGCATCAGAAATAGGATCATACTATTCAAACACAGAACATTCCTGAGAAATTTTAATTCGAATTGAACACTGACCTGTTCTTAAGACCAGCTCGTGAAGAACGGCCGGTGTAGCAAGCGAAACTCGAGGCTCCCGATCGAAACTCGAGCAGAGGTGATGAAGCAAAGAACGATAAGTCCGATTCGAGAGATGCGTGCGTCGGTGAGGAAACGGAGCGACGGAAGATTCCATTGTCTCCGCCGGAGAATAATCTCAAACAGTACCGATTTGCTCAACTTCTTCTTGTCGTTCGCCGGGAAAAGGCCGTCTTGTGGCGGTGGACGATTTAAAAATCTTCATTGGGCTTGATGTTAATGGGCTTCGTGATTTTTGAAGCCCAATATCTCTGTGTCTTTTAGTGAATCCTTCAATAAACGGCGTCGTATTCAGAACCCAAACCCTAAAAGATTTATCGATTCAGAGTTTTCGAAATCAACAAAATTGAAATCTCTCACTCTCTATCTCTCTTGGTGATCATTTCGTTTTTTTCCGGTAGAAAGGGAGGAGAAACATGGTTGTGCGGATCAGATTATCGAGATTTGGATGCAAAAATCGGCCATTTTTTAGGGTTATGGCCGCTGATAGCAGATCTCCAAGAGACGGGAAGCATCTCGAGGTCTTAGGTTACTTCAATCCTTTGCCAGGTGATTAACAAAACAAAATGTATCCTTTGTGTTTGTTTATAGAATTTTCGATTACTCTCTTCGTTGTTTTTTTTTTTCAACACCATCTCTTGGTTTATGTGTTCAGGCCAGGACGGTGGTAAGAGGATGGGTCTCAAGTTCGATCGAATTAAGTATGTTTTTTCTCATCTAATTCTCCACTTTCTTATGCTTTTCCGATAAAATCAAGTAGCTTTTGGGTTGAATTTACTCAGAAAGAGGTCTCTGAATGGTGAATGCTTCACTAGATGATTTAGGCTACTTTTGGGTTTTCTGCATTTGAAGTGTTTTGGTTAATTGCTAAAGTTAGCTCTAGATATCACTCAGCGTTTTAGCTGCCTCTAGTAATCTTAATGCACTGTTATGTAGTCAACATTGTGTTATAGTTAACTGTCTTTTGATCTGATACAAAGGAGATGAGTTCAGTCTTGAATGGTTTTTATTATCTAAAGGTGAATGAATGTACATGTTTCCCATGGTTGGTTTTGATCACTTTCTTTCTCTTCGTGCTATTCAACCATTAGTTGAAGCAATTTTCTACCTCATTGAATCCCATTTAAGAAAGGAAAAAATGAAATATTTGTGGAAATTCATCTACAAGTTTTAGTATATAACAAATGAAACTACTCAACCACTCTTGAGTCTTTGTATGGAACTTCTGCTCTGAGTTCTGGAATTGCTTCCTATTACTGTAAGATGAAGAACCTGTTGATTTTCTATTCGTATACACACTTACTTATATTCCTAATTGTTCACCCTATACAACCTCTTTTGCGTAATTCTATGGTCATGTAGTATTAGAATCGTCTAAAATTATGTTTATGACGTCTGGATAGTAGCAGAACACATGCCAAGATTACTTAGAACCTGGTCATACAATCGAAGTTTTTGTTCTGAATGACTAGTTTCAATAGAGGATGCATATAGATTTGATTAATGGACATTTTGTTTGCCTTTCTTGGTCTGTACAGGTACTGGTTATCTGTTGGTGCTCAGCCATCAGACCCGGTTCAACGCCTCCTATTCAGATCCGGTTTACTTCCTCCTCCTCCAATGGTGGCTATGGGACGTAAAGGTGGAGCACGAGACACACGCCCTGTTGATCCAATGACTGGTCGCTACGTAGATGCAGAGAATAAAACAGTTAATGCCAGTGATAACCAGCCTAAGGAAGAGGATACAGAAGACAAGAGTGCATAATTCATTAGCCTTTTGTCGTCGTAGCTTTTAAGCTCACTTTGTTACCGATCATATCTTGTGTAATACACTGTACTAGTTTATCTTCGCTTGTTCCTCTGTTTGGCGATAAACGGCAAAAATGTTTTAAAGCCTTTTGCAAAACCGCCACATATTTTGCATTGGTTGTTTTGGCCATTTACATTTTTTGATCTATGTTTCGAACTTTTTTATTTTATTTTTTTCGAAATTTTGTTAATACTATATTACTAATACGTTAAACATATTCGATGGATATATTTAATTTCTTTTTGTCCAAATTTAATTAAAGAATTAAAAAAAGTAAAAATAAAAATGCCAGCGAAGGAAAAAAAAAAAAAAATGGCAGTTGTTAGGTTTTTAATTTATAAAGGAGGAAGCCACGTTTTGCGTTTAGTCGCCACCCAGAAAAAAAAACCTCAAGTCTTCTTCTTCTTCTTCCTCAATCTCTCCACCACTTTTCAAACCTCACACAGTCTCTCTGAATCAATCCTCTTTCTTCTCAAATCTTTCAAGTTCGATCTCTAAATTTTCAGAAAATGAGCAACGATAAGGACAATTTCAATGTCAGCAATCTCACTGCTGGTAATTTCATATCTCCGATTTTGTTTCCGCGGCTTTGCTTCTTCTTAGTCAAAAGTTTTAGAAGCTTTGTTTTTTGTTTGCAGCTCTTAAAGATGAGGATCGAGCAGGTCTTGTCAACGCTCTTAAGGTGAGTTTCTCTATCTCTTATAGGAACATGCGATTTAGGGGTTTCGTGATTTATAGTTTCTGTGGAGATTTGTTTGTAATTGTTTTATGTGTTTGATTCACAGAACAAGTTGCAGAATCTAGCTGGACAACATTCCGATGTGCTCGAGAATCTGACTCCTAAAATCAGAAGACGTGTTGAGGTTTTACGCGAGATTCAGGTTTGGCAAATTTTCCATTCACATTTTGTGAGCTCGATGTTTATGTTGTTCTTGAAGTTACCTATGTAAACTATTGTTCGATGGATTAGTGTAGATTGATAATGGTACCTTGTGAATGTGATGTTGAATGTTTATTTGTATGCTTTTGGTTATATGAGAATGTTGTGTAGTCAAGAGTGATGAATGTTGTATTTGTTAAAGTAATGTGCATCCTTTTGATGATTATCTGAGAATTCTTTTCGTTTTTAGGGCAAACATGATGAAATAGAGACGAAATTCCGCGAGGAGAGAGCTGCTCTTGAAGCCAAGTATCAAAAGTTATATCAGCCTTTGTATACCAAGGTAAATTACTCTTATCTAAATAAGAAATTTTTTAATGGAAACAGATAAAAGTTATAGGAGGCTTGTGTATGTTTTCCTGTATTTTCTTTATTTGCAACTGTTTTGGCTATAGTTATTTTCGAATTTCTCTTGAAACTTGCTTGACACCTGAAATGTGCAGCGTTATGATATTGTGAATGGAGCTACTGAAGTTGAAGGGGCTCCAGATGATGCTAAGATGGACCATGGAGATGAGAAAACTGCAGAAGGTATTCTCCCTCTCTCTCTCTCTCTCTCTCTCTCTCTTTGCCTTTGTAAATTGTAAGCATTCTTAAAAAAAAAATGTGCTTATTTCACCGCGTTGGATTGCAGAGAAAGGAGTCCCTAGTTTCTGGCTGACCGCTCTGAAAAACAATGATGTTATTTCTGAGGAGGTTGGTGTTACAACATGATTGTTCATTTAGAGTTACCTAATCATATCCATGAGAATTGACCAGAGTTTAAAATCCTTTGATTTCAGATCACAGAGCGTGATGAAGGAGCCCTTATATATCTTAAAGATATCAAGTGGTGCAAGATTGAAGAACCAAAGGGATTCAAACTTGAGTTTTTCTTCGACCAGAATCCTTACTTCAAAAACACCCTATTAACAAAGGCATATCATATGATTGATGAAGATGAGCCTCTGCTTGAGAAGGCTATTGGGTAACTGTTAACACTTTTGTAATGTTCCGTAGCATATTTCATTCTGAGCTGCGGAATCTTGTGCTGACCTATGCACTAACTTTTATTTTGTTTCTTTGTTCTTTCTCTCAGGACGGAGATTGATTGGTATCCTGGAAAATGCTTAACTCAGAAGATTCTTAAGAAGAAGCCTAAGAAAGGTGCAAAGAATGCCAAGCCAATTACCAAAACTGAAGATTGTGAAAGCTTTTTCAACTTCTTCAATCCTCCCCAAGTTCCCGATGATGATGAAGACATTGACGAAGAAAGAGTATGATATCATTTGGTTTTAAGACATGCCCTATTTGACTATGTTTGATTATACGTTTGTAGTAATGTTATCTGTTCTTGGTGCAGGCCGAGGAACTTCAGAATCTGATGGAACAAGATTATGACATTGGGTTCGTCTTCTTGAACATAATAAACTCTGTCAATCTAATTTGTTTCCGCCTATCTTTTTACCAACTGTATAAAAGCTCTAGCTAGCATCTTTTGTCGTGAAGTTATAAATTATTTAATATCTGATTTTCAAATATTCCTTGCTTCGTGCAGTTCTACAATCCGGGAGAAGATTATACCTCATGCTGTCTCATGGTTTACTGGTGAGGCTATTGAGGGAGAGGAGTTTGAAATAGACAATGACGATGAAGATGATATCGATGAGGATGAGGATGAGGATGAAGAAGATGAAGACGAAGATGAGGAAGAAGACGATGATGAAGATGAGGAGGAAGAAGTAAGCAAGACCAAAAAGAAGGTATTGAATTCCTCTTGTTTTGTTTCTTCCTGTCATGGAATTGCCTTTTCTGAGTTTGGTTACTAACTTTTTGATATTGTGTTAAATGTTTATGCAGCCGTCAGTCTTACACAAGGTACATAGCCAGTTTCCTCCCTTCTGATAGTATTTGTCTGAGTTAATTAGTTAATCCGACACCAATGGATCATACAACGGTCATAAACTATTGACATTTGGTCAAAAAAGGAAATGAATTAGGAAGATTGCTGAAATTAACTGATTAAGCTCATTATGTATAAATCTGTGAATCATAGAAACTTGAACACTTATATGACTGAAGCTGAATTATATTAGTAGACAGAATGTATATTTATAAGCTTGGTGGAATCCTTATCATGCATATTTATAAGCTTAGGCAAATCAGTGTGTTATGTTTGTGATAATCAGATAGATTCATAAATATTCTTTTTGAAATCAAATGGCAGAAAGGAGGGAGACCTCAGCTTAACGATGGTCAGCAAGGAGAGAGGCCTCCTGAATGCAAGCAACAGTAGACGAAATCACGAAATCGAAAAGTCGAAACGAAAAAAAAAAAAAGGGTTTTGAGTGAAGTTTCATGGCCTAGTTTTTTGCTTCCATGTAAGGCAACTGTTTCGAGGACTGCTCATAGGAGTTTCGCTGTAGGCAAAGAGTGAGAGCTCTCATGTGGAGATATTTGATAAAACTATTTTTGGTACTTTTTTTGCTTTTTTTTTTGAATCACTCAATTGAATTTTGCTGTGTTCGTCAATTATATCCTTTTACCACTTAAATTAAGTCTCATATGGTTACATTACTTATTTCTTAAATTAATATTATTGGGTTTTTTTTGTTGACATTTATTGTAAACCAAAAAAAAAAGAACAGAAAGAACTTAATTTTCATGCAGTTTCTTTTATTTTTTATTTTATTTTTTTTTACATTTTTGGATCGATAAGGTCCGATTCATAGTCAATCCCTACTATGCGGAGTAACGCGATTTACTGGAGTCGAACTCTGGTAGAGAAAGCGGAGTTAAATGGATTTAACCATTTGACTAAAAGCACATCCCCTCGTACAGTTTCTTTTTCAATCGGTCGATTAGTAGTATTCAATATGGTCAAAGTCAAATTAATCACACAACGTGACTATTATTAGCATTAGTGAGTATCGTTACTCGTTAATAAATCAACTATATTGAGTGATTTTTTATTTAACGTATAAAATCAAAGATACACACGAAAGGGACTCTTTATGTATCTAGGATATATTGCTTCACCGTAATAAATAATTTTCTCCCAAGGATTGTGAAGATTTTTTTATTAGTTAAATACAAATACAATTAGTGCTAATGAATAATTTCAACAACACAAACTTTCACATTACCCTCTGTTCAGGTTATCAAACTATTGACTACAAATATTTGTCGTGCATTGACAATATTAATTGTTTCTACTCATAAAATGTGACTTCTTAATCAAATAGGGTTAGTCCAATGTGTTTGGAATGTAGCAGAGACTTGGCGGAGACAATACCTACTTTTTTTTTTTTGTCACTTGAAATTTTATTGATAAACTTGTTGTCGAACCGAAGTAGAATACAACGTCCAAAAGAGGGAAGCAAAGCCGGCGGACAACGGTAAGTCCCCGGAGACAAAGCCAGAGGAAAACGAGAATTCCCCAGAAACTAGGCCCTATGTAAGGGAAACTAAAGACACTATGACACAAAGAGCATAAAAACTCAAGCCAAAACGAAAGTTGACGAACCCTTAAACTAAACACAGAAGCAACAAGGCAATAACCAACCAAAAGACACTAGTACTTAAGAGGCAAAAAGACCTCTTCTTCCGTTGCACCTACGAATGAGATTTACCACGGCTGCCCACGGCCAACCCGAAGATAACATCAACAACCTCGTATCAAGATGAGAACTGATCTCTCGGAACCACAACCAAGACTTCATAACCCGGCAAGCAAGATCACTTGAGAAACTCAAAAACGCTTCCGGATGCGACGACGACGACCAAAGCGTCCATTAACCATTAACGTCTAGGTAGAAGACTTCAAACGCGATCAGATCCAAACCAATCTGAAACGCAGGGACAAGGAGCGAAGCTAAACCTCTCGCGCATCACCGAACTCAAACGAGTACGACGTGATTTCTTAACTAAATAAAAATAAATTCTAAAAATAATTGCTTGGAAACAAGTGTATATAAAAATACCTAAATTTTGAGGGTTCCAAAATGTTATTTATTATTTACGCGTGATTTTTTTTCTTTTAGAAAGCATGATTTATCAATTAGTTAAATTTTCCTTTATTTGCTAATTTGATCTGAATTTGAATCTAATACTTCAATTTATTAGATGTTTAATATTGATAATAAGGTAATCCCAAACTATAGACCATAAGAGCATCCACATTCGTAACATTCATTAAGAATCTATATATACATTTTTGGATCATAATTAGCAAATAAATCCTGAAGTTGAGAAGTATTTACAATGACATGCCATTAGCATTAATTATTTAGATTTGTTTTATTTAAATAAAGATTTTGAATTGAAATTCATTTCTCATATATTTAGCAAAAGTCTCTATAAAATCTTTCCTTATCTATTTATGTAAAGATTTTGAAATCAAATATGTTCTCAACAATTTACCAAAAATCTCTACACAATCTTTTTAAAAATCTCGACTTAGTTAACTTCTGATTTTTATCTGCAAAAAAAAAATTAATTGTAACGAGTGATGTAAAAATCGGGAATGTTGATACTACAATTTCTTTTACTTCTTTTTTCATATAATGAAAATTATTTTTAGGGATATTTTCTTAAAACCTCTAAACAAAACAAATGGTTTCAAAAGATAGCTTCTCTTTTGGCGGGTCGACCCGCAAACCCGCAACTCTCTACGGGCTTATCCGCATGAACCTGCGACCCGTAGTGGATAAAAATATTATTCAAAAAAATAACAAATGATGTTTAATTTTACGGGACTGGGTTATATGGTGCAACTGGATTAGATCAATATTTTAATATTAAACAATATACTATCGATGAAATCCAAGAATTAAAAATCAAAATTTAATTATAAAATCAGAAACACTAAACAAAATAAACAATATTAACAAAACAAATACAACTTAAAATTTTGCAAAATAATTTTTTAGTTATAAAAAAATCGACCTGCGGTGTACCGCAAGAAAAATCTTTCTCCTAAACTGAAGCAAGAAGAAGAAGAAAGCCAAATGTCGTTTAAGTGTATATATAGATATACCATTTAAACCTAAAACACAATTAATATACTCAAAACTATTAATATAGATATATGGATGGTACATTTATAAAATAGGTCAAAATATTATATTATACTCTCTATTAATAAACAAAACTAATTATATTTAGATTTTTTAAAAAAAAATTATAGCCCCACGGTGTACCGCGGGTTCAAATCTAGTATCTTAAGTATAAATTATTATAAAATTATTAACATCTTGCCACGTACGGTGTCTAAAACCAGCAAAAATGTCTCCCCACAGACACAATATGACACCGTATAAATTGTCATTTTTCTTTTTTTATTATTCTTCTAAATTTTGAAAACACCCAAAAAATTGTCCGATGGAGGTGTTCTAATAACCCAATTAAATATTATGATCAAAAGTATTGCTCTAAAGGGCGTCTTTAGATCTTAAAGTTTATACAAGATGGGTTGTAAATTAATATGATACTTTTTAATAGCAAGAATTAGCAAAAAAAACAAAGGCATGTGGGGTTTTATCCAAATGTTTGAACTTTGAAGTAATAATAGCCTATAAAGTTATGTTCCCTCAAAAGACACACAACCCAACGAAAAAATGACTGAAACAGGGAAAATACTTAACATTTAAATAATCAAATTCACTCTCTTTTGGCGAATGTATGTGTACGTCAAATAATTCAATCAATGGATACTAATCAAAAAAAGGCTCGCGTGGACAAATTATTCATCACTTTAGTTTGATATTATTGATCAAGTTCCAATTTTCAAACGAACTGGCAATATAAGATATTTTTTTATAGTGCAAATGTAAACACCAAACGCATCATTCTATTTTTGTTTGATATTTACCTTTGCAATTAACAAAACAAAATGCTTAAAATGTTTAAGATAGAGATGTCATTTAGAAGAAAAATATCCAGTAAATGAGCAATCAAGATGTTTGAATTATTGGGCCAGATCATCCCGTTTAATAATTAGCCATATTTAATTGCCGATGTCATATAGTGCGATAAAAAAATCATATATATACTATATATAGTGAGTGGATTCATAACGATGAAAGCGATATAATATACCTATTTTGTTAAGACTATGTTCTACTATATGATACAATGTTTCAAGACATTTTAACTAAGCTTTTGAATTTGTCACTTTTTCCATAGAAAACCGTCAACATTCTTTTCATCATTAAGTGTCTAGAAGCATACATAATCTTCAAAAGTTCCACGTGTTTAAGTTTTAATATAGTCTAAAATGCAGTGTATCTTTGCACCAAATAAAAAATAAAAAAATGCAGTGCATAATATCATGAAAATGTTAATTTAATAGCCTAATTAGTAAAAAGTAGCTTTGCGGAAAACCAGAAGCTCACGGCTCTCTTGTCAGAGGGGCTGCTACGTCTAGCGACAGAAGTCGAAGGCGGATTGGTAGGAGTCACTGTTTATCGTGATGATTAGCGGCAGATCCTTGGATCTGGGATAGCTAGATGTGGAGATTGGCGTTAGGGTTTTGTTTGAGCCATCGACTCAAATCGTTGCTACATTTGGTTTTCGTCTGACCGGATTGAACTGTGACAGTTATGGAGGAGGCTTGTGTCTGGAACGGTGCCGGAAATGAGGGTTCGTTTCGGATATTTAATACCCTCTCTGTTTCGTCAAGAGTGTCGTTTTATGATTATTTTTGCGTTTTAAAATAAGTGTCGTTTTAGATTTTCAATATAATATTTGGTATACAATTTCGAATTTAACCTCAACTTTATAAAAGAACACCAAAAGTCAATTTGCATTTAAAGAGTATTTGAGAAATTTTAATATGTTTTTTTAATTTGTGTGAAAAATATACTTATTATGAAACAGAGGGAGTAGTATTCTAATAACGTGCATTATATCAAACCATTAGTGTATAATCAAGAACGTATGTTTTCCTTTTATAAAGATTTCAGGAATTACAAAAAAATAAACATAACATTTTAACCAAAAAAAAAATAACAATGATAATATTCAAATTACATGATATAACTTACATGAACTTCACATTTTATCAAAAAAAATCCATTAATTTTTTTGTATATTTACATAATTACGTTAAAATTTTGATAAATATGTATTCTCAGTTTTAAGTTAAGAATTGTTCTTTACTTTCTACATTTATTAAGAAGAAAATAATCCTTTATTCTTTTCTAATTAATTAAGAACCTTCATTTAAAAAGAAATTTACGTACTTATTTACAATAATGAATTATTTAAATTGCAGAACAAATGTTAAACAACATTTCTCGTAAAATATCAAACCGACACTTCATAAAATTTCCACAGAAACTAACAAAGCATCAATCCATATAAGTAAAATGCAGTCTAAAACTTTAATTTTTCATTTAAGAAAAAAATCATGAAATAAATAAAGTTGTAATATTTCATGTAATTTGATACATAATGAATGCCCCTACGTTGGAATGAACCACATATCTAAAAAGGGAAATGATTTGAATTTGGAAGGTAACTTCTAGGTAACTTCATTAATTAATGTAAGTATGTAACCATCAATATATTGTTTGGCAAAAAACCATCGCTGTCTCCAAGCTCTTGAGTATTCATTTTCTTTTATCTGTAGATATCCTTGTCGTTTGGTTTTTCCATTTAGCAAGAAAAGTTTAGTCAATTTGGGCGACAGAAGAAATTTAAACCTAGCCACATGAATTTATGAAAGATTATATATATATATACGTGACATAAACTTCTAGTATTTTTTATATTTTAGCTGGATGACTTGGATCGTATTTTTAAATATACATAGTGTATATCTAATACAAGTTGGAAGTGTTATGGAGAAACAAGTACAATTATTGACTACCATATTATACGACCCATTAATCATAAAACTCAAGGAGTTTAAACAAATACTCGCCAATAATTTTTATTTCAAAGAAGAAACTAACATCAGTTTGTATAAAGAAATGATGTCCCAAAAACAATTTTTTATAGAGGACAAATATAGCTTATTAGATAATTACGGTAATAGCTTAAAACTGAATAAAAACAAACGGTCAAGATTGATTCAGGAAATATGACGAACGGCTGAAAATCCACAGTAATAAGAACCATCGACAACGATAGGAGCCGCCCCACGCCATAGTTAAAACTTATAAATAATTTAATCTTTCAATAATCAAATATTAATTTGTAAGCGTAAAAGAAGAATATAATCAAACTTGTTGTCAGTGAGCCAAGTCAGCAACAACCCTTCTGACTGCTTCTTGGAAGGCTGATTCGTCGCATTCACCCTACAAAAGTAATACTAATATAATTCCATAACTTTATACGTTTGTTTTATTCGAAACGACTAATAAACCTTTTATAGTCAATATCAAACTAGTGGCTATCTACTTATCTTATCAAATAATTTATTTATATACTCTATCAAATTCATTTATGTGGAAGAGAGTTAACACACCAATAAAATCCAACCAACCAATGCGACGGAGCCTTCAATAAAACCCACTAAATTGTAAAATACAAATATAGCAAATTTCCTTTTTGGTATATTATATGTACTGTATATTATCACATACTGTCTATGCCAACCTTGACTAATCAATAAATCTCAAATAATGTGTTCCCTTAACAGAAACCAAATTAATAAAATCAAGATGTTACTTTACCTCAATCTTGAGCCTTAAGCTCACAAGAACAACCGAAGTATCCCTAGCTCGAGTTCGAGCTTCGATTGATACTAAGCTCACATTGTTGATTTGCTTCAAGAATTCAAGAAGTCTTATCATCAAATCATCAACCCTAATGCTGTCTCCTCTTAGAACAACTCTTAGATCCAAAATCCTCTCTCTTGATGTTGATTCAGATATATGACTTATATGAACGTTAAACCTCTCATTGGGTAGTAAATCATTTATAATATCTCTTTCTCCGGCTAGCTTCGCCTCCAGCTTCCGGTTTCTTTCTAGTAGTTTCGAAATCTCGCCTTGCAAAGAAGATAGTTGCTCTCTTGCAATGGAGAGGACCGATGCTTTATCTTTCTGTTCAAAAATATGCAGTCATTACATTTAGCTCAAATATATAACATTGTTGAATATGATATAGCATATGAAACATATGTAAGCATGAAAACTAAGTAAGCTATCTTTTTAAGATATTATAACTATATTATTGAAAAGAAACAATCATATGGCCAAGTGTTTATAGAAGAAGATCAAGCTTATCAAATCTAGGATAGTTTAATGAGTTGAATATCATAGTATATATGGAACTTATAATTCATGAAAAAAAAATATTCAATCACATGCCTTAGTTCCCGGAGGAAGGAGAGATCTCAATGCTTGAAAGCTCTCGTTAAGCTTCTCTCGCCGTTTCCTCTCCGATATCATATGATGCAATTGCGTTGCGCTTGGCCCGCTGGTATAACGTCCACCCCCGCTGCTTCCACCACTTCCTTCGCCGTGTGTAGTAGCGTTTTCCCTAGTAAAACGCTCTCTCTGGTAAATGTTAAGCCTATTGTAGAAGGAAATCGCTCTTTTCATCATGCTTTGCTTCCGTAAACTCGGCAGCGGCGCTCTACCGTGGCCACTAATCATGGAGTAATATCTATTAAAAGCGGTGGCTCTTCTTTTACGCTGTGGCGAGGAAGAAGTAGACGGAGGACTTGATGGCCCCGTTAAAACCGCTAAGATAGCTTTTGTCATTGCTTCTTCCTCACGTTCACGGTTACGGAACAAAGGCTCTTGTTGTTGTTGATGGATCATATTGACCGGAGCTAAGGGTGGAAGTACCGGAACGTTAACGGCTTCAGTCGTCGTTGAAGGTTTAGGGATGAGTGGGAATAAAAGAGAGGAATATTCAGAGACGTTGTTGGGACTAAGAGAAGAAGAAGATGAAGATGGATGATGCGGTGGCCGGAGATAGTCGGAGTTTACCGGAGAAGACTTTCTATTGAAATCTTCAGGGAACCATTCTCGAAGACTTGCTTCTATTTTCATCTGTCCTTGAGTCAATGACATATAGAGATTATATTATGTAGAGATTTAAAAATCTTTAAGTAGATTAATAAATGCCTATGGTTTTATAAAATTAAAAAAAAAAAAAAAAAGATTCATACATTTGTAGCATCATATGTCATTCCGAGTTCGATCTCGCCGCTCCGGCAACCCATGAATATCACTGTCTGATCCATAACACATTTATAACATTAAATTTACATGTATTAATTACGTTTTGTTGAAATATTAATGAAAATGAAATATTGTACCTGAATCCTGGCTTGCTGCGACCAATAATGAAAAGAGGTGAAGAATTGATTGTTAGTGAATATCATAATAATAGAAATTATAACAGATAAATATGAAATAAAAACGGTGTTGTGGTGGTGATTGTAATAATATAATGACCTGATAGAATAGACGTTGTGCGTCGTTAAAAGCAAGTCTTTGAATCTCTTGTGGTCGAATCTCTACGTATGGAAGATTGTTCATGAACGCCATGCTTGGTACATGCCTGAAATTAAGATTTTTGATTATATACTTTATTAGTACTAAACACATATATATATTCAAGGACATAAACATTGCATGTGTGACTTGAATTGATGAACAATCTTACCCATTTTGGAGTGGGATAACGGATTGGCGATACTCATGGAATAAGCTTCTAGCTAAACTTCCGGAAGAAGAAGAAGAAGAAGGTTCTTCAGAAGCTTCATTGTAATATCCATCCATTGATATCAAATAGCTGCAGCTCAAAATCAAATGCATCATGAGATTAATAAAAAAAACATTTACGTTACAAAGAGTGAACATGTTACATATACATATGTGTTGCTGTGTAATGTATATAAATGTAAAGATCGAGAACGAGGAATATATGATTATTACTTAGAAGGTCGAGGGAAATAATAAGACCAAAGACAAACGTAAACACATCCAAAAGATTGAGCTAGCGACTCGATTAACTGTTTCCGGGTATTGGGATCATCCGTTAAGAAGAATGCATCCATGTAGGAAGATCACACGTGTGACTTTCTCCCAACACAATATAAGATTATGAGAACTGAAGATGAAGATGAAGAAGAAGAAGAGGAGATACTTAGAGCTTCATTGCTTAGCTTCTGTGATAACCAGAGAGAGAGAGAGATGGAGGGAGCTAGGGAAAATTATTCGTTCCATATTTTTATTTTCTTATTTCAAAAACTGGAGAAAAATATTAAAGTTGAGAAAAGTAGAGAGAAGAAGCAGCCAAAGGAGAGAGAATGAGAGATTTCAGAAAGAGAGAGTCAAAGTCAAATGGTACAAACTACAAAGGTTTGAAAGACGGTCAAGAGAGGATGGCAAATTCAATTATTCTCTTATTTTGATCAAACCTATCAAATAGTCTTATTATTAACGGTTCCCATAAAAACTATGTAAATGTTGCTTGATCAGTTAGTAAAAAAATATTTGTGGAAGGATTTATATCTAAAAATTTATTTTGTTAATTCATGTGTTGCTATAGTAGTTTTGTAAAAAATTCCAAGAAAAAGTTTTGTTTCTATCCACCATGAATAAATAATATCCATGTCAAGAAGAGTGGCCTAAAAAAAACAAGAGTGGCCTAAAACGACGTCGCGTGATTCCTGTAGTTCTTAATAAGTACTGATTATTTATCAGTACTGATTATTTATCAATGGCCATTGAAATTAAAAAAAGATCGTACAGATTACAGAGTACAATAAGTATTTGTCGATTGTTGAAGAATCTTTACTATTACCACAAAAAGTAGAATCATGTGATTTTTATGTAGTTCATGCCATTCTCGATCTTTCCTGCTTATATATATATTCCAAGATTCCTTGTTACATGCATCGATCGCCTCTAGAATTAACTTTCTACATTTTTTTTTTGGTAAATCAAATATATTATATTGAAAAAAAAGAAAGAAAAAAAAAAGCTTCCTAAATATTTTAAAACTAATATTATGTGTCCTGCCCAGAATATACATACAATCCTACCTACTATAATATATTAATATAGCAAAAATTCACAAGCTTCTAGAACTTGTAACTGTTTTTCTCAAGTATATGGTTCTGCCGTTTTTTTTTTTTTTTTTTTAATCCGAAATTAATTATAGTTCAAAAGAGCAATTCCTGAGGAATGTTGTTTACATATGTGATATGAATCGGTTTTGTACGAATTTTTCGTACCAGATTATCCGCTTTTACATTAGCATTTCGAGAAATTAAAGATAAAGAAAAGGATGAGAATTCTTCCTTGTCACTCTGAAATTCTTCCAAGTACACTGAAAACGCCGGCCATTCGGTTGGAGAAGACACCATCTTCACCAGATCAGAATAGTCTGTAAGAAACGCCACTTTTTGATTATCTGCACCAATCATACACTTCATCGGTTGGTTCTGCCGTTCTGGTTGATAAATATCCATTGTTCCTATAATTGCATAAATCCAAAACATGATTTAGACTGTTTTTCGGAATTTACAATTTCAATGTTCATTTTAATTTATCCGGGAAGGAGATATGCCCAGCAAAAATCAAATCATGGTTTGGAACAAAAAGACGATATGACGACTAGACTATTATATTTAATTTGATTTTTCCATTGTTATAACTTCAAACTTTGAAGAAAAAAAAAACCATTTCTTACAAGTTAGGCATCTCCAATTTATCGAATCCAATGTAAGATAACAGCAAGAAAATTCTGATTTTATTTTCTTTATACATAAGAAAATTATTTAATCTTTCAAAAAAAAATTATAAATTAAAACATTGATTAGTATGTGACTCAACAAGACAAAAAAAAAAAATTGTTGATTCGTACGTACGTGTGGACCATAACGATTTGAAAATAATCATGAGCAAGTAATTGTATTTATATATATTGTGATACATATCAATTCTGTTTTTTTATGTTTACTTTTTTGGCGTGTGGTACATATCATTTGCGATTTTATCGATTAATCATGTGTGGAACGTTTTCACAACCACATTTGGTTGGATGAAAATTTCGATTGTACAAATTTAAGAGTTTCCCCGACCGCGAAATGCTTTTAAGCAAGTTGTATCAAACCATCAATTAATTTACAAAAAGCTAAAATTGAAAGAATTTCTCTTGACGAGTAAATTAAATGCATGTTTCTTCACATTACGACGAGACTCCTTCATCTCATGCACTTGGACTTTGACACACCAATATGAACCAAAACACTCCAAAACTAATGATATTTTTTTCCGAGAAAACAGTTTTCATGATAATTTTCTTAATAGTTAAGCTTAATATTCGACCTGCATGTTGTCTCGTAAATTAATGCTAGTGATCTCTAGTTCTCTACGTATGAACATAATAATGACATCACGGATTTGACGGTGGGGGTTATTTTTCTTATTCGATTTTAGAACATTCAATATTATAAAATGTATTAAACTATATCTAAAATGTTATAACAAAAAAATAAGAGGTTTTTTTTTGTATTTAAATACTCGCATGAGAAAATCAGTTTTAAATATTGAGAACGGTCAACTGCTTGACTATAATAGTCTATGAGACTATGACGCATCGGCATTTTGCCACTTGCTTTGCTTTCTATCGTTTTGCATGTCTGATAACGAACAGCGCGCCGTTAATATTGAGAAAAACAGCACATAGTGTTCTCTGAGGCCCAGAGCTCGACGTTTGATATTTGGGCTGGACATTAGAGGTCCATGAACTAAGCATCATCTTTCCTAAACAACGAAGTGAGTAAAATCGTATTCTATGTGGTTTTTCTGTTTGACCACACAAAAACAAAATTTGTTTTTTTACTTATATTTTTCACATTTAATTTTTATTTTAATTTACATTACTATTAAGTAATACAGTATAAAATTATACTATAAATTTTGGGATGGTAATTACACGAAAAGAATGAAATATACTAGGGAATCTCATGATTATATTTTTGGTAATGATGCAATGAGATTTTGCATTATAAAACAATTAGGTAGCAATCTCTAATTGTTCCGACTTTTTCACATAATATAATGTTTAAATTGTAATATAATTATATATACAGATACATTATACTATTAAATATTTGGTACTTTCATACTTTCTATTAAAAATAAGGTTGGAGATTCCTTCGGATCACAAAGCTAGCGGCCGCAACTTTCATCATATGCTTTCCACTTTTCACGACGTTTTTTGTCGTTTTCTTGATTTTACTTGATTTAATGGAATAGTTTTATATAAATGCTTTTTAGTTAAATTGACAATGGCTAGGGCGATTTCGTCGATGCACTAATGTTTTAATTTTTTATTGTTTCTAGGTGACCACCATTATCCATGGGTTCTTAGCCAAATCTTAAGGTAAGATTTGTGAAGAAAAAGCTTAAATATAAACCTAAAAGCTCTTATATAAGAGTTCTTTCTTCACAAATCTTAGCTTAAGATTTGGCTAAGATTTATCTAAGAGTTCATAGATAAGGGTGCTCTAAGTTTGCGTTCGACCAAGATCTTCAAAGTAAATATAAAAAAATATATTAAAAATTAAGCCAAGAAAATAAAAACAGAAAGGAGGCAAGAAGTGTGGATGTCTCCTTCTTTCCCGCATACTGTAACAAAAAGGTTTGGGGACATTTCTTGGACATAATTATTTGTTATTCCTAAATGTATTATATGTATGTCAACATTTTCTTTACAAAAAAGATAGTTTCACATTTAGACTTACTTTCGAATCTTATGATCATGTCCTTTACTTTCCTATCAATTTCCACCTTTTTCCTATCAATTTCCATTTTTCTTACTAGCATAATGCTTTAATTTCATGTGCTTAGCTTATAGCCAAAAATCTTCCACCGAAATATTTTTTGAATTTATTCACGTGGAAACTGTGGTATATATTTTGCACACTACTATTATATTTCTGTCAAAAATCGATATAACAAAGAAATGGAATATTCACAAAGTGATGAGAACGACTAACAACAATAGGATTCTAACTCGATAGTTTATTTATTGAAATATATTTTGTCCCGGTGATAATATCATTTTGGGATCATATTTATATTTTCTCTTTACGAAAATATCCCACCTCGGACCAAAATGTCTAACCCATCCTTCTTGTGATGAATGATAAGGAAGATATTGTATAACCCCCATATTACCATCCTCACAAAACTTTAATATTTCCATATTTTCTTGATCATAAGCCTCCCAATTGTCAAAACCCGCAGATCTTAAAAACCCTACCGCATAAAATACATCTTCCTCAGGTATAGCGGCAGACATTCGATCATTCCACCTAAAAACACCGCAAAAAATAAGTTGGTAAATATATTTTGGATTCAAAAACTAAAAATGTAGATAGTAAATTCGCAATATCGAGTTTAACTTACTTGTTGCGATTCATAGGATAAACAAGAACGGGACCGGTAGTAATGTTATTTCTTAGGATAATACCCTTGAAAACACCATCATCAAATTTGGAAATTTGAGATTTGGGTACGAAGAGATTAAGCCATGGATGTGGAACATCCCATTGGCCTTTGGATTTCAGGTTTAGCTCTCCGGTTCGAACCCGGTTTAAGAAATCCATATACGTCACATCTTTCTCGTACATAAACCCTCTTACATAGTTCAAACTCTCGCTTAACTCCTCCATTTCCTGCATAATTTAAATACCTAAATTAAATTAGTCTTAATAATTAATAGTTAATAATGCATAAAGATCTCTCAATTATATATGTATGATTCATGATTGTATGTATGTACGGACCTCGTTGACTGTGTATTGAGAAGTTTCGTCGTAATACTTGACGACTTCAAGGCAGTAGATGACACGATGTCGTTTGACCATTGAGGCAATCCTCAAGTGATCGGACGGTGGATAATACGTGGATCTCCAGTTATCCGGTGGACCATGGTCCACCATTACGGAACCTTCCAAGAAATCTACACCGTCCGTTTTCGATATCAATCGTTCTTGATCTCTTGTGAATTCGGAGAAATCTATGTATAGAAACCTTAACCACTTGGCCTGCAAAAAATACAAAAATGCATATATGTTCAATCATAAATTTCATAGAATTTTCTGTAGTTACATAAATAATATTATTGCATAATTTACAAATTTAACATACCCTTTTTGGAGCTACTTCGAGTTTAATTCTGGCTCTTGTTAGAATTCCGAATTGACCCAAACCTCCTAACACG